TAAATGGTAACCTATAAAAATGGTAAGTCTTTAACAGTGGAGCATCATATATGGAGTTATGACAACAAGTAAGGAATCCCATTAAAAACTAAACATTCGCCAACCCCCAGTGATCCTTCATGTCCAAATATTTTTGTCCCTTTCTGTCTTCAGGTTATCTCCTGCTCATCCTTAGGTTGCAGATCCTGATGTGATATGGGAGCCATGTTCACTCCAGTCTGCGCTTCTTTATTATTGGATCTCAAGTTGCTATTCATTGCATTTTCGGAGCAGCAGGCCTTCAAATGATAAATGTTGGCCTTGCTTTTACGGCATCCCATTGCGTTCATGAGCTGATAGGCGTCCTTTCTGAAGGCCTTGGTGAAAATAGCATACAGGAAGGGGTTGGCACACGAGTTGATGGGAAAGAAGAGGACCAACAGAATCTTGGAGTTGGTGACGGTGATGAGAGGAAACTTAAAGGCGGCAGAAATAGCAAAGAAGGAGATGGGCGCCATGCAGAGGAAGTCGGTGAAGATGAGCACAGCCATTCGTTTTGCCATCCTGGTGTCCGAGCTTCTTTCAGGGACCTCAGGGTTCTTCACAGCCAAGTAAATAAGCACATAGCAAACACACACGACGATGAAGGCCCCCACATTGAGAAGCAGGATGATGATGATGAAAGTCTGCGCTAGGGGGGTTTCTATGTCCATGGGTAAGCACATGCTGACTTTGGTGTAGCTGCTGACGCCAACCAGGGGCAGCATCCCCATGCCCAGACACAGAAACCAACCCGCTGCCATTATACCCGCAGCCTTTGTCAGGACCAGATGGCGTTTTACATGCAGAGCGTTGGTGATGGTGTGCCAGCGCTCCAAAGTGATGGTGGACAGCGTGTAGACCGACAGCTCGCCGCCAAACACAGACAGGAAGCCTGCAGCGCTACAGCCAGGCCCGGTTTGCCACTCGATGGCGTGTTGACTGTAATGACCACGAGTCCTCAGGTCTACCGTAGCGATCACCAGAAGATAGACACCGATGCAGAGGTCAGCAAAGGCCAGGTGGCACATGAGGAAGCGAGGCACGGTTAGCTTGTTTCGGCTGATAAAGAAAACCAGCAGCACCATCAAGTTGCCTGTGATAGCGAGTATATTGATGAACCAAATAGCAACTCTGAGAAAACTGAACCCAGAAAGGTCCTCGCAGGGATTGAAGGCATCCTCTTCTGGTGTGCAGATGACTGAGTGGCAGAAGTCCACCCACTGAGAATAGAGGTCATCCACATCTTGAAAGGTGGTGTCTTGCAGGTCAGATTCAGAATAAAACGACCAGCCCCCAAGCGGAGGTGTGTCGCCTGTGCCACCGATAACCCTCTGAAATCTGTAAGAGACGCAAAAAGACAAGACACAGATAATAAAGACTCTAGACTCTATGTTTCTCTAAATTATTCATTTTTTCACATAGCATAGTATCTAAAAATATTTCCCCTAAAAAATGCAGATTGGGAAGCTAAAATATCGATCTCCAATGCTACTTGTTGTTTCCAAAGCGTCCAAAGAAGCTCCATTTGATTTCCTTTTTGCTGATTGGTTGTACCCCACAGAGTCGAAATAAGAAAGACTGTAAATATTAGCTTCTGCAGTAGTGCTGGCACCCTTTACACTCTACGGATTAACGCATATTAAGGTTAAAATTCGCAATAGTAATTGTTTTTAGAGGGGTAGTTATTCACGTATTTCAGTGATTTACATGTGGCTGTGGTCCTGATAGAGATTTTTGGTATTATCATTTTGTTATTACTTTAGTTCATATTCAGTCTAATGTTAATCTTCCTTATGTGTGTATAAACTGACCTGGAGGTTACGACTGACTGTTTCATCTTCATGTGAGACAGTTAACTCTGTGTTTCCCAGACCTTAATTCTTATCAACCAGAATACCTCCTAGCTGCCTGTGAGCAGTCGTATTTTGTCTCTTGTTTATCCTCCCTCTTTGTCGACAGTTTGACCTAGAGCTGAACTGGGCTCAGACCGTAGATCAGATATCACACCTGGCTGGTTTGTTTAGGTTAAATGTTTTACGACCTCTGTTGTTTTTTTTCTGGCTGTTCTGCTTGACAATAAAACAGGGGCTCACGCGAAAGGAGATCAGAACTCTCTGTGAACGGCCTGGAGAGGTTGTTGATGGAGAGTTCTCCTTTTGCAAAAGCTTTGTCTATAAAATTCATATACGTTGTCTGTGGTCTTTTTATATAGGTTCGAGAAAAATACCTATCAGGTCCCAAACCTCAGGGAATACCAGGAGTCCACTGTAGTTTCTCTACCCATAGCAAATATCTTACAGCACTATGTTTGACCCCCGTTTAATGAAATATATACTATGCAAAATAACTATTAATACTAACTACTATTTCATCACATTGTCAGGCTCAACTCTCCACAAAAGCAGATCCCTAACAAAAGCTCAGGGAATGTTAGCTGAACCTAACCTTTTCTCAGAGTTTTTTCTTTTAAGTTTCACAGAACATCCCTTGCAAGAATCCAAACCATTCCCTTAAATTGAATTTTCAGAAAGTTGATGACTTTTGGAAGGTAATACATAGAAACTGGTATGAACTATGAGTTCAGCATGAGCAGAAAAATATCTTACCTTGCTGATGGATTCCCTTCTTTACAAGATGTAGAAGAATTATCCCATGGAGCATTAGCTGAGAAGTCCCTAGAAAACCAGAATAAATTTATAATCTCATTTTACATATTTCTTGTTTTGAACTAACAGTGTAAAAAAAATCCATCAAATTTAAAAATATGCAAAACAGAAAAAAAGATGATTTGAGATTGATTTTTTTTTCTCTTTTTTTGCAACGGCAACAAATCCTGTAAGCTCAGATGATCATTTGGTCTCTCATATAATATTGCAAAAGCTTCCTGATATCAGCTAAAGATATGCCAGGTCAAGTTTGGAGTGTTTTGATCATTTTTACAACAAAACAGCTTCAAACCATTGAATTCTGGGGATTTCTTCAAGTGCTAACCACAAACCTAGCTTAAAAAAGTTTTTGTATTTACATTTTTAAAGAAGTTT